GATATTGCGTAGCTTGTCAGTGTGTTTTTATTTATGCCATTAATGTTTTTGTTAATACAGCATATAGCACTAGTCAACTAAATGTATGTAACATGGCAAAGATGAATGCACTTTTGGAAGTTGAATGTAAGGGTAATGTCATTTTGGAATTTCTGTGGTTTAATGTGATATTGTTGTTCATGTATGTTCATGATGAAATTTTCTTTTATTGTTGTAATTAATTTATAGCATTAACAAGATGACCCATTGAATTCTTTTTGGAGCAATGACTGATTGAATGTCTTTTTAGTCCAGTGGCTGCATATACGATTAATATTGACCAAGTTCAGAGACTGTCATATGTGGATCAACTTACTATGTTGTGTATTTTCAACAGTTTCAACATGAAAAATAACTTTTATATTGATTCAATGGATTTATTGCATTTTGGGTAAAAAAAAAAAAAAAAAAAAAAGTCTGCGGTTTGCAACTGAAAGGGTTTTAATCATGTCAAGGCATTCAGAGATGCATGATTTGGGTTTGTAGGTCATATCAATGTTTTTTTTTTCCGTTTTTTTTCTTATGCATGTACAGCATTTGCATCCGTTCAATAAACATTCAAGGGGCTTTTTGGATATGCAGCGGGTGTGTGCCCATCCCTTTGGACTTGTGGTTTGCTCATAAATAGGCACATTTTTTTACAAATGCTGTCATAAGCAATGCTTAATTTTATTTTTTGGCATATCAGAGAGGATTTAATGGTGGCAATTAAAGAGCAGATGCACTTGCCTTGGACGCAAGACCTGAAGGACATTTTCATGGGGATGCTCGTATCTTCTGCCAGAGACCGAACCCAAAAGTCCTGACGGGAATAGTGTCTCAAAGTGGCCCAATGGGAGGGGTTGTCTGACTTGTCGGTACGCTTCCTGAAGAAGTCACAGGGAATGATGGTAAAAGTGCCCCTTTATTCCTCACAACGATCTTAGTTGAAAGACGCTTCTGAGTTAAATATATACATCTACAGGGCAATCTAATGTCAAGGTGTCAATTTCATTGTTATCATGCACAGAGATGCCAAGGTTTTTATTGGTCCTAGAGCAGCTGTTAAAACTAATGTAAGCCATCTATCCAGTGGTAAGTTCTGAAATCCATCATTATTTTAAAAGACATACGGATAAGTGATGTCTTGCTTGCCTGCTCGATTTTACTGCTGATGTATTACTTACTTCTGAAAAACGTGGCACATTACTTCGGTTTTAGGCCAACAGGGGAAAAAGTAGGGAAATTATGACCCAGAAGAAACTTTTATTGCTCAGACTCTACTCTTTTATAGATCAATGGCGTTCTCGGTCATGTTTTAAATAAGCAACAACTTTTTCTCAGATGTTTCTTTTAAAATTTTTTAGGTGAAATAAAAACAGACACAAATGAGACAATTGTTGATATACAGTTAAACTCCTACACTAAAGTAACGTGAATAGTTTAACTCAGATAATTTTTCCTTGAAAGAATCTGATGAGAAATATTTCAGGAAAAAAGATGATGACGCCGCGTGTAGCTACTGCCGTCACACAAAATCATGTTGGAGGAGATGACAGGTGAAAGCGAGACACTCTAACCGCAACAGAAAAAAATAGCTTACCAGTGTGGGAGTTTTTTTGGATTTCATAAAAATAGCAGGATTTTAGACATCCAAGTTTGCAGATAGTGCAAAAAGGCAATTTATTGTTTTTGTACAATTGTGATTAAAAACTCTCTCCGCCTCCCTAAGCTGGTGTTTGTGATTCATTTGCCAAAAAAGAGAAAACAAAATAAATGAAGTTAAAGATGAATTTGACTGATAGCTTTATTTAGTTTCGATAGATGTCGTGATAATATTGTCTTTTAAATGCGATAATCATGTAGTGAAAATCTGATATCGTCACAGCCCAACTTTGCAGTGACAATAGAGAATACTGGGGTAGAAAAATCAGAGAAGTAGACTTTAAATTCACCATGTGCACTTCATTTAATCTCAGTTGCTGACTAGGAGAAAACACTGAGATATTTAAGAGATGTCATTTTTTATTTTTATTTCTTGTGCTGAGCAATAAACCATCTTGCCCTCATTTGACTTTGAAAAAGATACTTCACCCAAAAAAGTGGACACAGATATTTTTCATTTATCTTCTTCTGTGTTCCACGAATGGAAGTAAGTGATACAGGTTTGGAACAACACAAGGGTAAGTGAATTACAAAAGAATTTTCATTTTTGCATAAACTATTGCTTTATCCCCAAGCACCATCTCCTCATACCACTGACACCTTTAAGCACCTGTTGATATCAAACTTACTATTACTGGATGATGTTTTGACCATATTTGAATCTTAAAGACTCAACTTGATTAGTAGTGCCACACTACCAGCATGAATTAGCATCGCTAAACCGCATAATTAAACAAGGGTGCCATGTGTGTGCCGTCTCCCAGCTGTCCCCCGCGCTGACCTGCACTGCATAAGAGCTTTAATTAAAACTACAGTGGGTGTTTTGCCCTCTGCTTCAATCTATGAGCGAGTTTAGAAAAGGCAACACACAATCAGACACAGGGCCCTGAATCAGCCTCGTCACCCCGGGGCCCACGGTTCCACTGAGTCACACCACTCATATGAACCTGTGCGTCTGACTCACGGTGTGATGTGGTGTCGACAGCTCTGGTGTGACACAGAGCCTGGGGACTGCCAGGGAAAATATGGCACCTTCCCACAATGCCTCAGTGGGGGGACATGAGTGAACAAATGCCTGTGCAATGCTTATGACTATCCCCTAATACCTTCATTTTCTTGTTGTCGATGCAACTCTCTCACCTCTCCTACTGAAAAGACTTGCATCGTTGGGAACTAGGGATGTCAATTTTCGATCATTTCCATGATCGATCGTCGTTTAAATTAACGATCAATTAATCGATTAATCGTTAACCTTAATGCTGCAAAATGCGCCTATGCAGCTGCAACCCGGCATGACAGGAAGTGCAAAAGTTACTCAAAAAAAAAAAAAAAACGCTTTCTCACCCGATTTAAAGGGGATTTAGTCTGAATAAAATGCTAGTAGCAGGATTGTAAAATGAATAGATGTGATTATGATCATTTGATAAAATGAAGAGAGCTCGTTTGAGATAATTTTACTTTGTTGACTGTTTCCTATCCTGTCACGGAGATCGCTGAACGCGCCTCTTTAAATGGTTTCGTGGTGCTCGTTGTTGTATTTTAAAACACAATTGCAATGTTTTCAACTGACATTATGGCATTTAAAATAAAATGATCCCAAACGTAACTGTGGCGCGTGTGGCTGTGCTGCGCAGTCAGTGAACCGCTTCCATCGGCGCTGCTGCAGCAAAACACACTGTTGCTCACATCAAACATTATCATGTGAGTATTATGACCAGTACTTAATTTGATCCTGCTGGATCCTGTTCCGGAAAATGTCAGATTTTGAATTTTTGCGTTGCGGTAGGCCTATTTGTTTTTAAAAATCCGGCATTTACAGTGCATTAGATCGTGACAGTGCGTGTGTGCGTGTACGAGGACGGAGCAAACGCGGGTTTGACTAGATATATTTGGAGGTTATTACTCGCGTACCATTCGGCACAAATCCAAATGTTTCCATATTCGCAATGTATTTGAATGTTAAACTATTATTTATAATGTAAACTAGGCTTATATCAAAATTAAACGACTTAATCGACCATCGATAGCTTTAATCGATTGCATCTCTTATCGACAATTAATCGATCGTCGATTAATCGTTGACATCCCTATTGGGAACCAATATATGTTGTGCTTTCAGAACCAGGCTCCTTAACAAACCTAAAGAGATAGTTTACCCAAATCAAACTTCTGTTCTGTCAACATTTACTCACCCTCATGTAAAACATGTACTTTTTTCTGCTGAAAACAAACAACAACAACAACAAAAAAGATGCACTACTGTTTAAAATTTTGGGGTCAGGGGGTCGGCAATAATTTTTTTTTATTTTTAAAAATATTTAATAAGCATATTAGAATGATTTCTGAAGGATCATGTGACACTGAAGACTGGAGTAATGGCTGCTGAAAATTCAGCTTTGCCATCACAGAAATACATTTTAAAATATATAAAAATAGAAAACAGTTATATTAAATATCTTATTATGTTTTCTGTATTTTTGATCAAATAAATGCAGCCTTGGTAAAGATGAAAATAAAAAATAAAATAAAATAAAATCTTTCAAACCCCATACTTTTGAATGGTAATCTTTTTTGTAAATACACAAAAGTCAATTGTTTATTTGAACCCCACTGACTTTCACAGAATGGACTAAAAAGTTGTTTGAAGTAGCTTCTTTTATATTCCAGGGTAGTTAATGATTATAGATTTTTTATTTTTGGGTCAACTATCTAGTGTCTTGTTCAGTCAGCTGGATACAGGTTAACAATGCTACATTTCGGGTCAAAATATACAAAGTTCACGACTGCAATAAAAAAATAAGGCACTGACGTTTAATTGAGACACTAGAGCATCTACATCAATGCCTTGAAGTGGTTAATGGTTTAATTAGTGTTATTAGAGAGAGAAGAGACAGCCTCCGCAGTAATGCTGAAGATGACTCGGGGCAAGAGGCAAGGATAGAAGAGGAGTGTTACACACACACCGAACACACAAAGGATGACACAATGAACTTAAGTATTCTCATGCAATTAAGTGAAAAGTATAAAAATAAGATGTAAAAGCAGGCAATGCCATTCATCTGATGCAGCCAAGAACAACATAAAAGCAATTTTTATAGAGAAATGATCAAATTGGCCGTACAGACACACACGCAAACAAACACTGATTCAGTTTACCTTTTTGGCATAAATACAGAACTATTTTAGAGCAATTCATTATTTTTCAACCACTGATTGTGCTGTTAAAAATAAAAAATTAGAGCTCTTTGTCTTAACTAAGGAGTGGGAGTTACTACCCACACCGGGTCAGAAGGAGCTAGACACTTAGCAATGAAATGCCAAGAAACATGGAGTAAGAGAAAGAATTTGAAAGAGAAAGAGAGAAAGAGATGAAAAAGGTAGACAAGGGTCATGGCCGCTCTTATGTGATTTGTGTACGTCCGCTTTGTGTCTGCTCGGAAGAACGAACACATGTCTGAGTGTGTAGTGAATTAACTTTCACGCACCCTGGACACGAAAAACCCAATCATTTTTTCATTAACTGGTGTAGGGAAAGGGGCCAGGCGAGCGCAAACTAATTACCCTTTGCCAGAGGGGCCAGTAGAGGGAAGCAGGGAGTGCCAGCTGCCCAGTGCAGTGGTCTCAAAGCTGGGTGGGAGCACGAGGGGCCTCTGTAGCCTCGCATTAGATGAGAGGGGCGGCTTGTATGCATAGATCTATGTAGATGTGAGCAGGGTCCAAAATGAATACCAAATCCGCATAAAAATTACTTGTTAGTGGACAGTACCTTTGAAAGGAACATAATATAGTGCCTACATTGAATTGTATAAGCTACAATCTGAGTTTTTTTTTTTTTCTCCAGAAGTCTGTCGCAATATATATGTGGGATATTCCTCACATTAAAGCACCAAAACATATATTAAGAACAAATATCATATAATATGCACTCTTTTTTTTAAATATTAAAAATAATGAAATACAGTAAATGGGTTAGAACAGTAAAAAATATTTATGACCGGTAACTTACTCTGCATTAGCAGGTGTGTCATAATGGCAGTTATGGATGCTGAATGTGAGTAAAGAGTAAAGGGTCTTGGCTGGTGAAGAGGAGATAGTCTTACCTTGCTGGGTAACCCTGCTTGAAGATCCAGCTTCAGCTGGGGAAGAGCTCTTGGAGCGCGTGTTGAAAGGTGATTGTCTAAAGCGGTCGTCTAGGAAAGGGCTGGAAAATCACAAGCTACAATTAGATTCAATAAATGTGATTCCCTACATTCTGGCAGCATAATAAGCGCACAACAGTAAACCTACCTGTGTATACCGAAGGATGCATTGTCTTTGTTTTCGTTAGCTTTACTTACTTTTTCTGAAAAAGAAAAACACAATGGAGTTAAAAATAGGCTTGTTTTTGTGTTGTACTAACAAAAATCATATGCCACCAGTAGGTATAATAAGGTAATTACTTGTTAGTAGAACTATTCATTAATAAAGCTGACCATTAATCCATCCCTGATAAAAAGACAATCATTGCTGGTGTCCAGCATATATTGTATTTTGCATGGTGGTAGATTAGAATGCTGTTTTGCCGGTAATGCAAGATCCAGTTTTTCCAAAATTGCTATAAAATTGTTTTTCCCCCCTTTAAAATTAATTTGCCAAACTCAATAATTTCTGGTAATCCTGCTAAATGCAAGATCCAGTTTACCAAAACTGCTATAAAATAGTTTTTCCCACTTTAAAGTTCATTTCTCAAACTCAATAATTTCTAATAAATGCAATGCTTTCAACAATAATAAAACAATAAAACAATGTATAGTCATGAAATTAAATAGTTTTCTTGTTTTAAGCAAAAATATTGCAAAATTTAGTGAGTTTGCTCTTTGACAATGGGGTAGGAAAAATACTTTTGAATAAATATTAGAATTTAATAAATTCAAGATACATTTCTGAAAAATATATGACACACTTTTACTCAAGTAAATTTACGTTACATATTTCTACAGGAAAACCAGGACAAAAATACTAAATAAGAAAATAATTCTGCCATGCATGCTGACTTAAGACAGTCTTTTCAGCAGGGATTGCAGTGGTTAGATTTTTTTAACCGTGTTTTGCCAAACTGCTTTTAAAATCTTGAAAAACAGAGGGCAAAAGAGAACAGTGTCTCATGTCTGTCTGCCTATCTGCCTGTCTTTCTCTCTTCTGGTGGTCTGGTAATGACCTTGCTCCCTGGGTGGCACTTCCTAAGCCCCCTCTCCCTGACACCCTCTCGGTCACACAGCTCACAGAGGATGGAAGGGCTCTCTGCGTTGCCATGACGATGCTGCACAGGAGCAAGAGGGAGAGAGAGAGAGAGAAAGAGAGAGACAAGGGAAGTGTGTGCAACCGAGTGTGCTTGAGCCAGAATGTTTGAGAACAATCTGAGGGAGTCGAGGGTTGAGGGGTTATACATACACACTTTGCAGCTACACACCTCTCCCATGGGGTAGGGGGGGAGGTGGAAGGATGCGAATGGCGTGCATGTGAGGTTCGTGTACAGATATATATATATGTGTGTGTGTGTGTGTGTGGGGGAGGCTTTTTGTGATCGGCTTCCGAGGTGCTAGATGGCATTTAAAGAGAGCCGTAGCTGGCAGCGAGGAGCGCTGGGGGCAGGTTTGTCTCTGCTAATCCTCAGAACGCTCTTGGAAGAAAAGCTCAATCCTGCCATCATTTAACACCACAAATATCCCTCCACTCTCTAGTGTGTCAGTGCAGCAATTAGAGAAGACGATGAAGAAGAAAACCTGAAGACTGTCGCTGCGGAGAGCTTTTTTTTAAACGGACAGTCCGCCCTTCGTTTCTTCTGTCATAGAGACTTACCAGACAGTTTG